TAATAACTCTGTAAATAAAGGTCTGAGCCAAAATTGAAAAAGGAACTTTTAGTTCAAAATTTCATTCTCTTTCACGCCTTGAAATATTAATTAAGCATTACGGGACACCCTGTATTTTTAACATTTATTTCGTAAAAGAATGCACTGTGAAGTTGGTACGATTTTTCCATGTCACAAATAGCGGCATATCTTTGGCTTCAATTTGTCTTATCCCCACCATGTAAGTAAGTTAGCGATCTAGTATAATATAGAAATCTATGGCGGGACGTCATATTTACCCGGCAATCATACATAGTGCTTCATAAAGTAATACTTTGTTAATGTGCATTTAATAATACAGGTTAAACTTTTGATATTTTTGAATGTAACTCATCATTGAGTAAAGATGCTATCTCCTCTCTTGAGTTACTTGGTTTCACTTCATTTCTCGGAGCTAGCGATCTTGGATATTCTATAGAAATCTGTGAATACAATAGTTTATTTTTTAAGGTTGTGTTATATATTTAAGATAATACCACTTATATTTTATTTTTTTAATTTGATACAACAGTTTCTTATCGAGGTATTTATAAAATAATTTTATGTAAATTTTTTTAAATTTGATACAACAGTAAAATGTTCTTAAAAAATATACGTGACTTCCTAATGTTTTAAGACGTCATAAAACAAATATAGAGCGATATTAATATCTCAAAATATTATTTAAGACGGGGATTAATATCTAAGACAATGTTGGAGCACTCGATAAGTATAACCAATCCATTCCTATAAAAGATTGGATCCACCTGTTTTTTACTCCTCGTTTTGGCTTATATTTGTCGTATACTTGGACGAATGTGGTTTTTAAGGAATTTTTTTTCGATAAAATCCAAAAAGTAAACTCATAAAACAAATTTTGAGACTAGTGGCGAGCCGATGTTTACTATTCCAAAATTACACAGGTTTAAAATGGCATCATCAATAACTTTGCAGGGGTTGATGGTAAGGGATTAGCACCTGAGACAATGCTGGAATCATCTAACGAACACTGTCCATCTCTTTTAAGCACATTTCCGTATTACCTACCGTTGGCTTTTAAACTTGAAGTTGAGTGGTTTTTAATTATCATCGATAACTTTACACGAATTGGTAATGAGAATTGGCACTTGAAGCAATGTTTGAACACTCGACAAACACAATCTATCATTGTTGGGTCCACTTTCTATCACTCCCCCCTCCCCTCCTCCTCTTTGTTCTAACTCTGTATACTTAGACACAGGTAATTATTTAGGAAATATTTTTCAATAGAATTCAAAGGGTAAACTCACGAAGCAAATTTTGAGACAAGTGAAGAGTCAATAAGAAAGAGAGAACAGAGAGAGAGAGAGAGAGAGAGAGAGAGAGAGAAAGGGGGAGAGGAAGCAAGGGAAGAAAGCCGCAGGCTTCGCTGAGCTAGACATTTTATTATAAAAATTTAATAACATCGAAACGGTTTACTTAAAATATAGTGTTTTGAAAAGGTCTGAAGAAGGACTATAAGAATATGCAATAAAAAATAGGAGTCCCACTTAAAAAATTCAAGGTGACCTTGTCCTGACTTTGGCGATGCCACCCAATGCATCCATAGTCAAACTAATAGTGCCATTACATAGATCTTTTGAAACCCTATAATTTTTATGTGAAACACTTTTTCCTACAATGCTTACAATTAGTTTTTCGAGATATTTTGTCGTCCCGGTATTATTTTCATACACACACCTTGTATAAAAGAATAATAGAGATTGAAATAAAAACATTACTTTAGAGGACTAATTATGTTTAGATAATGCATAATTAGTCCTCTAAAGTAATATTTTTATCTCAATCTCTAGTATTCTTTTATACAATAAAAAGTACTGAAACGACAAAATATCTTGAAAACTAAGCATTGTAGGAACGTGTTTTACATACAAGTTGTATCGAATATCGTTCCGTGATTAAATACTTGAATCTAAAAGAAAAAACCAACGGAAATAAAAACCGAGTTAGATTCTGTTTATGATAACTTAGCTCTTTTGTCTTTTCAAAATTTGAGTTGCCGTGTTTTATAGACATACACAGTGCGGTCCATAAGTTCACGGACTGATTTTTTTGCAGCCTTCCCATTGATGCTATTTATCGGACTGTTGAACTACGTAGTGTGAACCCTTTTAAACAACCGTGTTGAATGGCATAATTTTAGCCGCAGTTGTTGAAGAGTGCGGACGTCTAATATAAACTGGTATTGTGTATATGTCAGACGCGGGAGATGAACGGGAAGGAGAAACAGCGGGTACTCTCTAAATTTTCTGGAGTAAATTTTCACTCTTTTGGAGTAAATCTCACTCCAAAAGAGCAAAAATACTGCCACTCAAATGGCCGAATGGGAGTATCTTCAATCTTTTGGAGTGATTTACTCCAAAAAAATTTAGAAAGTAGCAATTAAATTTTGTACGTCTTCTGAATCAGTTCAAATCTCTTTGCCGCTGAAAAATCAGCTTTGCAGCAAAATTTAATTGCTACTCGCTGTTCCTCTTCCTCGTCCATCTCCC